GCTCAAGTGAGGTGGGATACAAGCCCTCATTTCATCGTTCAAATAGAAAACCATTGGAACTAAAACAAAAATATATATTTCTTATTAAAATTAAAAGAAAATTCAAATTATATAAAGATAATTAAATAAAAAACTAAATTTTAAAAGTGTACCTCAAAACCAAAATTTTGATCAACGAGTAATCAAATATCTTTTAATTCATCAGGGCTATCACGATGATTTTTTCTTGTTGATGACCACCTATTTAATATAAAAAATATATTTCATTCTATAGTCAAAAAATTATTTATAAATAAATTCAATATTGAAATTTTACTAATAATAATGGAAAGACAAATGACTCATTCACGACCGGACATAAAAAAAGGCATGAGATACCACGCCATGATTGTAGAAGAAGGAGATAATCACCAACATCAGTTTTACTATAATTCGTTATCCGCCACATTTCTTTAAACAAATGTCCCAAAACTGCGGAGCCCTAACTCAATGAGCCAACTACTTCAAAATCAATGAGGTGAAGAAACCATATACAATGAACTTGGTTATGAGATTTGTCAGGCATAAAGATCCATCCTATGATTCGTAATATATATGCATGGGTAAATGCTTTTGCCTCATCCTTGAAATAATTTTCGTTCAACTCTTGAAAAATATATTCCAGCCATGATAACTTTATTTGGCCACTGTTGAACTTCATCGGAGAAGCTCTAAGATACTTCATGTACAAAGAATGACAATCACCATCTGCCACACCACAAATAACAGTTCCATCTACTGGAAGCCTCAAATGCATTGAAACATCCTCTAGGGTAATGTTGCACTCCCCACATGGAAGATAAAATGCGTGTGTCTATGGTCCCCACCTCTCGATTAGTGTAAAAATGAGTGCAAGTTCAAATTTATAGCTTCTAACAAAATTTTGCTATGTAACAAAATCCAGCCTCAGATAAATACCTCCAGATACAACGATTATTTTCCTAATTTATAAAAATTTTACGAATTAAAAATTTAAATTATGTTCAAAAAATTATTTGAAAAATAAAATATTAAACAATTTAAATTAACATAATGTAATATTTTTACTATATTTGAAAAATGACTAGAAATATGATTTGCATCAAATCAATGCATCTCACCTTCTATTTTATAAATGCACAAAATAAAAAAAAAATTAGAAAGTACAATTAATTAATAAAATAAATAAATATTCAATTAATATATTAAAAATAAAAAAAATTATACCTTTAACTATTTTCCCGATGAAGATTCAAACCAATTTGAAAAGTATAAAGAGAGATAAGAAGCTATTTTTTGGTGTGATTTAGTTGAGGCGAGGGAAATGGTTTATATAGGGGAGATGGTTTTGACGGGAACGACGGGTGTGAACTAGTTGTGGGAAGGAAAAGCACGCCTTGTGAAATGTACCATCAAGTTGGAATAAAAATCCCATGAAGGCTCTTCACCTGTAATGCGCCTTCCGTTGTGGCCGTCAAATTAGCATGAAGTGCACCCTTGAAGCGCGCCTTTGATCCATATTAGTAAGAAGCGTTTCACACAACGTGTCTCCCACTTATTTCTTCAGAAATGGTGCTAATTTGGTATATATTTTTAACGCCCCAAATCCTAGATGAAGAGTTTCAAACTAACTCAAGAGTGCCTTAGATGAACCCATTAATCTTGGGAATGAGCTTAGTCCAATTAAGTGTGGATTTGGGCTTGGTTTGAGCCTAATAGTTGGTAAAAAAATTTAATTTTGAAGTTTGACCAAAATTTGAGGGTCCAAGGGAATAAATTACCCATTTTGTGTTGGAAAGGCTAAATTCTTTAAATGTGGTGAAGTCACACGCATGATGCCTCTTTTTCCTTCCTATAAACTTTGCCTTCTTATTTTCTTCCTTATTTCATTCTTCTTCTCCAAGAACTTGGTTAAAGGTTGGAACTTTATAGTCTTGCAAGCCTAGACTATAATTTATAAGGTAAGAACTTTAAACTCCCCCTTCCAAGCTTTCAATCAAGCCCTCTCTTGCAATATGTGTCCATGGTATTTAAAATATGGGTTTTGTGAGGGTTTAAGGAACTTAAGAGTTTTGATCCGTTTTTACGGAGTTCAAGCCTTTGAAATTGTTCTTAAACGCTTCTTAACCACTTAAGCAAGTGAGTAATTCCTTTTTTGGTCCTTGTTTACTGAGAAAAGTATGAGAAAGCTCTAAAAGCAAAAACAAGTAAAAGTTTGTGATAGGGTGAATTTGAGATGCTTCCAACAACATAGAAATCCAAGATCACACACTTCTAACTAAATTCTACCATATGTAGATCATTAGATAAGTTTTGGTAGGCTGGATGAGTTATGAAGCACGTCCATGTTAGCTTGTATCTTTTGATTTTTTAGCATGTAAAAAAACCCTTTTATGATCCCTCTAATCATACATAAGACTTTAATAACAGTTGCAACCTCAATATGATATTTAGGATTGAAAGTTAGCATTTTTTGTGCACAAAATAGAGCATTTTCGGGCATGAGTATCGGTATTGGAAGAACAATACCGATACTGTTCATCAGCTAGAGTAAAAAATAAGAGAGTTTTGGGAATAGAGTATTGATACTCATTCAGAAAGTATCGATACTGTAGGTCCGATCTCGATACTCAAGGGGTGGTATCGATACTGGGGTATAAATCATATTCCAGATACTCAGGGTAGAGTATCGATACTCCCACTGAGGTATTTTTCAAATTTTCAAACCTAATTTTGGTATTGATATTCAGGACAATATCGATACCCCAGTATTAGAGTATCGATACTCAACCAAGAGTATTGATATTTCCTTCCCCAATGGTTAAGGGATTAGACTTGAGGGGCCCAATAAAATCAATATATCAACAGATAAAACTATAAGTGAGAACAATAATTAATTTCAGAACAACTAGAAATAGTAAAAGCTATGAATACATAAAACTAGCCTTGTTTGATGCTAGGGAAACAACTAGGACACTCGAGTCTCTTTAGCAGAATATGACAGTCAGTTGGATATCACATTCAGCGCAAAGACACTTCAATAGCCGACTGGGCGCAGATGCCCCAAGACTCGACGGAGTAAGTTGGTTGGGTGTACGTTTCTGATGCATTTCCGGATATCACCCCAGATACCCCGAGGGTATATCAAAAAGGCTAGAGGGGTGTGTGAGCTCCGATAGCTGCACCATGATACCTATTTCAATAGTTCATATCAGTATTTTACATGTATTCATACCTATGCCACTAGCCAACTCATCTCGTGAATGCATCTAGTATAGTGCAATTATTGGTGTTGCACTGAGCTTATAAGCTCAGCTTTCGAAATGTGTTTTCGTACGTAGGTTCCTAAGAGACTAGTAGCAGAGCATTATCGTCGACAGTTATTCCAAATCAGCCGAGGATTTTAGAGTACGTCTTGAGTCATTCTTAGATGGATGCACTATTTATGGATTTTATGTATTCAGTCGTAACTCTATTTTGATTTAAACTCAGTATTGTATTATTTGGATTTTGGGAGCTCCCATGTATTTATAAACTTATTTACTATGTTTTATTTTTGTTTCACCATGGATGGATTTCTATCAAATGTTTTATAGTCAATTTTTAAAGAAACGTTTTGGGTTTGTTGGTCCTGTGTGACATTCTAATCCATCGATCTTCGGGTCGTATTGGATTAGGGTGTTACATATTCACGAATGGGTACCAAATTGATAATTTTTTCATTGATTTTGAGATAAAATTATCTTATACTTAAATTATAAAGAGATAATGTTAAAATGCATTTTTAATGTTTCACTAAATAACTATTTAACATTTATTCTTTAAAAATATTTTAACCTTCAACATTTTATTTTAAGACATATGACCTTTGATTGGATGAAAAATTATTAGTTAATTACCGGTTAATGTTCTTCGCTAACGTGACAAGACATATGTGAATTACATGATATCACTTTGGACATTTAGTCACACCATCACTTTAGACTTGTAGTATATACCATGTCATTACTCATGTACATGAACATGTGTTGTGATATCACTTTGAATATGTTACACATGTCACATCATCATGTACATGCGATATGTGTGACATCATTATTATGGCAAAAATGCTTGAATGGTTTTTATTTCACCAAGTACTACACCCACCAAATTATTTCCCCAAACAGGTCATTTGTTACAGTGATGCAAGTTTCACGTGTGGATGATGGTGATGCAGCTTTGCAAGGGGAGGATAAATGCGTTGAAGACGCATGGTAATTCCCGGGTCTTCAACTTCAAGATACTTGAAGACGCGTAGAAATCTTGGCGTCTTTAATAGGTTGCATGGATTAGCGTCTTCACTGTGTACTGTAGCAAATGACCTATTTAGGAAAATAATTTGACAGGTACACTACTTGGAGAAATAAAAATACTTCAAGCATTTTTGCCCATTATAAATATATAGATCGTGTCACATCGACGAACAACATTAATTATTAATTAATTGATGATTTTCATCAAATCATCAATTATTTTATCTTAAAATGAAATGTTAGATCAAAATATTAAAAAAATAAAGATTAAAATATTTGTTTAATTAAATATTTTTCCTGTCATTATGCCAGTTATAAACTACTTGTTATTTTCCACAAAAAGTTTGAAAGTTCATAATGTCAGGGGAGAGGGACCCATGCTGTAATAGTGTGTACATATAATGCACACAAAGATGAGTCCAGTCAATCTTCTACTATTTTTCCCGGAAACATACCATACAATTGCTTGGAAAAAATTAAATTGATTGATGATTAACATCATGGATGAAACGGGGATTTTAAGTGTAGTCACACCTCCCAGGATTTTTAATTTTTTTTATATTTTAGACTTTTTCTTTATATTTTGTATTAATTATCTTAGTTCGCAACCCTAAACTTTTATAATTCCGTACTCTTTAAATTTGTTAATATAATTCTTAAGTTAACACAGGTAAATTTCTGCTTCCATACTGATTATGATGGTTACTATTATTCCAAAGGAAAATACATTTCCACACCCAGAGAAAACCTCAATGGTTCTTATTGTTCCATATTGCTGATTACAACTGTTACAGCTAAAGTTAATACTAAGCTTTACAAGCAGCTACACCTAGACTAGAGCGGCTCACTTTCATCCAACTCAAAATTGTCTTCAAACTCAACAGGCTTCATTACAAGGTCCAATTCCAAGTTCTGGGAAGTGATTTCATAGCTTGAATACACATTAGACACCACATCCCCATAATCGGCACCGATTATATCCTTCCACATGATAACAGAACCCAAGTCCGTGAGACCACTCGTCGTCGTCGTCGTCTCTTCCTTGACTTCCTGCTTCGTCGTTGTAGTGCTGGATGGGATGTCGGAGTTGACAAAAGTGACCATCTTGTGAGACTGCCAGGATTCGGAATCACTGATGATTTGGGGAGCCTTGAATGAGTCTGGTCTGCATGTATGGTTTCCGATGTAGGTGATCTGATACATTTGGGAACCATCGTCCATTCTTTGGACTTGTTTAGTGGCCTTACAACCTTGATCGTATTTACGAGTGCACCTGAAGTAGCCCCTGTTTCATGATAATTTGTAACACTCGATTAGCTTCCTTTTATTACAAACAAGAATAATTTTTGGAACAAATTATAAAACAGTGAATACCTTGGGTGTTCAGAATTCAAAATATGCTTTTGTCCATATTTCCTCCACGCATGATCATCTTCAACAGTTGCAGAAACTACAGTCCGAGTCTGTTCAGCTTTCCTGCAACCAAAACACATCCCTTTAACATTCCGTACAATCTATGTATGAACATCCAATACTTGAAACGGATTTTTATTACCTTCTTTTATAACAGCCCCTCTTTTCCGTGGAGACGGGTCTCTTCTTACAACAAGGGGAATCATAGTAGGAAATTGCTTGATTCTGAGCAACCTCAACAGATTCAGCCCCAGTCAGCAAGGAGATCGAGTGATCAAAAGATGTGAAGATCTGATGCACAAGCTCCTGAGCCGAGAGACGCCCACTTTTTTCAGAGGAATTGTGCAAAAGAATCTGAAGCTGGGTAGCACAGTCTTTACCATTAACAAGTTCTTCTATCACCCTTTTCTTATTGCTCCACACACTTCCCATAACTGTCGGCCGATAAACGTACAAACCAGTTCTGCTTTGCTTACACTTGTACATACATATACACACACATATATATATAAAAAAGAAGAGATAATATTTTAAAGACGGGAAAAGATAGAGAAGAGGAAGAGGAAGGGGAGAAGCAAAGTAAAGGAAATTGTAAGGAAAGGGGAGTGAGGTGGGAAAAGTAATAGTCTTTCTCATTAATGATGAAAAAGCAAGCTGACGTTTGTACATCATAGATTAGAACTTGGAAACAATAATATCATTTGGTCTTTTAAATAATTTGGCCTGCATTAAACATTGTGGATAACTTTACTCAATTAGTCTTACAAATTAAGGTTATCCTTGGTCACACAAACTTAAATCATAAACAGCTGAATTGGTTTGGGTGGAAGTCAATGGACTACTGAGCCACCTTCCATGATTTTTCCGTTGTTTCTAGGGGTTCATTTCTTCCAACTGCCTGTCTGCCTGGCTTAAAACTAGAAAGGGATATATCTGATTTCTTTTGAAGTTGGAAAGGGATAGGTCAAATTTTGGTTATGTTCCACTGTGTTAAAATTTAGGAGTATTTGATCTCTAAGGGAACGTTTGATTCACGGAATGTAAGATTACCAATGGGGGAATAAAAGATTATCAGAGAATATGATTACGGAGAATGATGTATTTTGTATTTGGTTGGTTTAGTAGGAATGTAAGATTTCCGTGTTTGGTTAAAGGAATAAAAGATTATTTGAATGTATATTTAACCAAATTGTCCTTATTATATATATTTTTTAACAAGTTGAATTCTACTATAATATTACTATAAGATATTTATATATTTTCTTTAAAAAAAATAAATTCATAAAATTTATATAATTTTTTTACAAAATTAAAAATATAAAAAGGTTTAATGAAAGGGTAAAATTTTATTTTAACCCCTGAACTTCATATAAAATTTTAATTATAGACTTTTTTTTTGTAAATCTAAAATAGTTTAAGCATAAATTTGTAATTTAACCTTCGTAGAATTTTTATTATTCAATGACAGAAGAAATATATTTTTGAAAAAATAATTAAGGGCATTTTAGTCCAAAACGCCGGTAATTCAACAATACCTAAGGGAATGGGGTAATGACATTCCTGGTAATATACCCCAAAAAATTGGTAATAAAATATTATCGGGAATGAGATTACCGGCCAACCAAAAGGGGGAATGTGGATTCCATTCCCCGGTAATTTCACATACCCTGAACCAAACATGTCCTAAAGAGAATAAAACTATCTTTAACCACTAAAATTACATGACAGATTCAAAAATAAATTTGTAATATTACAGTAAAACTTCATGTCTTGATCAATGACACACGAAAAGTTAAAAAAAAATAGAAATCAATATTAAGAATCTTGGCTAATTTTATATTTAGATTTCATAATTTTTAAATATATTTCATGTAAATATTTATAAAATAAATATTTATACTTAATTTAATTTGTTTAGACTTACCATGAGAGTAAAGGTTTTATTGGAAAATTATATATAAGGAAAAAATAATAACTAAAATTTCATTAACATTTTTAAATTATTAAAAAAATGTTTCTCCATATTTTTTGTTTTTATTTTATTTTATTCCATTAAAAAATTATTCAATCGTGAGATGTATAAATAAAAAGTGTAAACACCATCTTACGTTGTTTTTATATACTCATTTTTAAATTGTAAATCTAGTTATCGTTATAACTTTAATGTTTTATATTAAAACATTTACTTTTTCAGATGTATTAAGACTAAATTTCTTTTTATAAAAGAAATATTAACATCAACTTTTTATATAATATAGAAATTTGTAATAAACTTTAATTGAATATTTATAGCTAATAAGTAATAACACAAAAACAACGTTAAAGCACATGGGCTGGCCTTGGCCGTACATAAAATTTTGAAATTCGAGCTGCAATCTTAACAATCAAAATGATAATATATTATTTAGTTCTAAATATAACTAGAAATATTCGCACTAATAAACTTAATTTAGTAGTTAAACGAATCGTTGTTATTTTTAAAAGTCACGAGTTCGAACACTAGTGACTGTAATAGGGTGATTGAGTGTTATTTTCAAATGATTAAGAGTATTTAGAACATGTATTATTTTATAATCACTTTAATTTAATAAAAAAATTAAAATCTTTTAAAAATAAATGAGAGATATAGGAGAGAAAATAGAGATAGATGTATACATAGTTATTGCTATATTTGATGAATACATGAACCTCATATATATATATAGGGGTGAAGAATGCTATCTAATAATTATGATACATGTGAAGAGTTAAGTGTTTTGGCATTTCATCTTCTCAATTAATTGAAGAATGCTAAAAGCCACACTAACTAATAGGGGTAATAATGGCATCCACGTAAAATATTCATAACACTCCCTCTTGTATGCCTATTATCAAATTGTGTCTCGTTAAAACTTTACAAGGAAAAACCCAGTGAGACAAAAACCTAGTGAAAGAAAAGAGTACATAATTATACGCTTGAGATGTTGGCTCATTAAAAACCTTACCTTGAAAACCCAGTGGGATAAAACCAAGGTTAAGGGAAAAAGAGTACAACGCGTATTTACTCCCCCTAATGGCTACATCACTTGATATCTCTAAGGTGACACATTCCAATGTAATGTAATAACTTCTGAAACACAGATACAGGAAGCGCCTTAGTGAATAAAACTACCAAATTCTCACTTGAATCGTTCTTATTAACCTTTATCTCTTTAAGTTTATGAAGGTCATGAGTGAAGAAGAATTTAGGTGCAATGTGTTTTGTTCTATCACCTTTGATGTACCCACTCTTGAATTATTCAATGCATATAGTATTATCTTCAAACAAGATAGTTGCAACTTCTTTCCCATATGATAAACCACATTTATTTCGTATGTGATGAATCATAGATCTTAGCCATACATATTCACGACTAGCTTCATGGATTGCTAAGATTTCTGAATTATTAGAAGAGGTTGTTGCAATCATTTGCTTCATGGAGCATCAAGACATTGTTTTACCACCATATGTAAAAACATATTCAGTCTGTGATTTACCATTATGAGTATCTGACATAAATCTTGCACCTGGAAAACCAATCAACTCTGTTTTGGATTTATTATGGAAAAATAGACCCATGTCTTTTGTAACTTGGAGATAACGAAATACTTACTTAACTTCAGTCCAATGTCTTTGAGTTAGGCATGAATTAAATCTTGCTAGAAATTTATAAAAAAATTTATATATCAGGTAGGGAATGACTAGTAATATACTTCAATGCCCCAATTGCACTGAGATATGATACTTCGGGACCAAGAAAAACTTCATCATCTTCCTAAGGACAGAAAGGATCTTTAATCGGTTCAAGTGCTCTTACAACCATTGGGGTAGTCACTGGATGTGCCTTATCCATATCAAATCGATTTAGCACTTTTTCTATATACGTTGATTGATGCACAAGGATTCTATGTTTTAGGTGTTCAATTTGTAACCCCAAACAAAATTTCATTTTTCCAAGGTCTTTCATCTCGAATTCTTTCTTCAAACAATTAATTGTATTTTGACTCTCTTCAGGAGTTCCAATGATATTTAAATCATCAATATATACTACAATAATAGTGTATCTAGTTCCATACTTCCTAATAAAAATGCATGAGCATTGTATCATTATTATAACATTCTTTTAACAAAAAATCGCTTAGGCGATTATACCACATACATCTAGATTGTTTCAGTCCATAGAGGAATCTATTCAATTTGATTGAATAATGTTCTCGAGAATCGATATTCTCTACTTCTGGCAGTTTAATTTCCTTAGGAAGTTTCACGTAAATGTTAGTATCCAGTGGGCCATACAAATAAGCTGTTACTTTATCCATTAGGAGTAAATCAATACCTTCTCTTATAGCCAGACTTATAAAAAATCTAAATGTAGTTGAATCCACCACAGGAGAATATGTCTCCTAATAATCAATTTTAGGACTTTGAGAAAATCTTATGCAACCAAACATGTTTTATATCTTATAATTTCTCTTTTTTTCATTTCTTTTACGCACAAAGACCCATTTGTATCCCACTGGTTTCACACCTGCAGGTGTACGAATGACTGGTCCAAACATTTCTCTTTTCACTAGTGATTTCAATTCAGTTTTTTCCATTTTTTCCAATCATCTCTTTGTCTACATTCCTCAAATGATTTTGGTTCATGATCCTCTTTTTAATTCATAACATTTAATGCTACATTTCATGCAAAAACATCATCGAAGTCGATTTGATTTCGGTTCCATTTAATACCACTCATGACACAATCAATAAGGATCTCTTCATTTTCAGGTATTTGAGTTTCTTCTGAAACTATTTTCCTAGTCATGTTTAAATTTTCTTCTGGAGATCTTAGTAAAACCATTGTTTCCTCGATTTGACCATCATTATTCTTTGCTCCTTTTCTTTTTCGAGGATTCTTATCTTTGGAACCAATTGGTCTACCACACTTCAAGTGTGCATTAGACCCATTAGTAACTAGAAGTTGTCCTTCTGGGACGTCATGTTTTATTAGAGCATTCACAGCTGGTATATGTGACTTAGTCACTCTCTTTGGGTCAATAAATGCGTCTGGAAATTTATTAGCTAAACTATGCAAAAGAATAATCTTTTGAACTTCTAATTCACATTACCTAGTACAAGGATCAAGATGAGACAATGATAGTTCTTTCCAACTTATTTCTTTTACCAGCTGTTTGATCTCTCCCCCTAATGCTGGAAAAACTGACTCATCAAAATGACAATCGGCAAAACGAGCAGTAAATAAATCCCCAATAGATGATCCTAGATATTTAATTATAGAATTAAATCCAACAAATATACCCAATCTTCTTTGAGAATCCATCTTAGTTCTGTATGGTGGAGCAACTGGAAAATATACGGCACATCCAAAAGATCTTAGATGGGATATATTTGATTCCTGACCATGAGCCATTTACAATGGTAA